GGTGACCACTTGGTAATACCAGGTGCAAAAAAAAAAAAAAAAGCAGTTATACAAAGTCAATTATGCCAAGATCTAATGTGTAGCTTCGGCATAATGAAAATGTTTTTAAAACAAATTCTGACAGGTGTAAAAAGTGTGTACAGTGTAACCCGGATATAAGAGAGATTTTCTCTGGTCCCAAATTAGAGCCTGTGTTAATGTATATAAAATAAACCAAACCCAGATATAAGAGACTTCTTCTCCGGTCCCGACAACTCTCTTATATCCGGGTTACAGTGTATTTTACAACAATGTGGAAATTGTGGAACAAACAAAATGAGTCACCACTGATCCTACCAAAATCTATATTCATCTCCAGAAAGTGATGCTATGTATCAAGTGAGAAGAGAATTCACAAGGAGCTCCTTCCAGAGAACCAAATGGTTGATTCAAACAAATTGTGCTCCCACTTCGACTAATCAAAAGCACCTAAATTAGTTAAGAGAAAGGATGTACTATTCCATCAAGACCATGTGAGGCTATATATTTCTTTGCTGAACAGGTGAAATTTTGACATTGTTTTAACTGGGAAGATTTATTCCACTATATTCATTAGATACTGCAACTTCAAATTACTATTTATTCCAGACTTTACAAAATTATCTTAAAAAAAATAAAAATAAAATAAAATAAAATAAATAAATAAAATAAAAATAAAATAAAAAATAAATGACCATTCCCTCAAAATCTGAAAAATGGCATCTAGAATAGTTCTTTTATGTGAAAAAAAAAAAAAAAAAAAGTTCTAAAAGACTGGAATTATAAAACTGCCTGAAAGTTGGCAAGTGATGATCAGTCAGTTAAGTGCCATATATGATCCACAATTGGGCGATCATGTCTCTTGATGCATGACTGACTAGGCAAAAGATTTTATTGCAGTAGGTTGCGCTTTCTTTCTGCAATAGATTGGTGGCCAATCAAGCCTATAGGACCCATTCTATCCTGTTATTCAACCCATAGCTGGAAGAGTAGTGATGGATTCATGCCTTTTCCAAAGGTATTTGCATGTAAGTAACCCAACTGGAATTCAAACTTGACTCAAAGACTTCTCTTTCTGAGCCATTATCCATAACAAACATCTTGTATGATGATAGAACAGTGGTTCCTAAATGGTGTAGGTGCAACAGAAGAGGATAGCTGATGGTGTGAAATGATTGAAAGACAATCAAAGATTTAGAAACAGTTTCAAAAAATTCATATGCCAAAAATAAATTTCAAAATTTAAAATAATATTATGGATTACTTGTAATTGCATGCTTGAGTCCAAGTACAAATAATTATTCACCGATTTTATCTTGGTGATATTTTTGCATCATATCAAGTAAGAATATAGCAACTAGGCTCCGCAAATTGGAGGAGAGAGTTATCAATGATGATCTTGTGACTTTGAATCTACAGTTATCTCCCTTTAACTGTCTTTTTTTATTTTTAAATATACTTTTTATCACATAAAATTTGGTGAGGTGCAAGCAAATTTTAATTCCAAATATGCAGCCCAGAGGAAAAAAAATCTGGAAACCACTGTGATAGAGTAAGAAAAACACTAAAAAAAAAAAAAAAAAAACAAAAAAAAACACTATACTGTTCAATAAAGTTAATCTTGCAAAAAGTCTTATTTTTACTTGATAAACTTAAGGAACATTTGATATTACGCAATACTTTAAGTATGCCATTAGAGTTTTAAATTACCTTGATTTCCCAGATGAAGCAATCATTGTTTATTAAAATAATTTTTCTTAATTTTCAATTTATATATCCTAGTCCTATTCAATAATTCATGACCACTGAAAATCTTTCTTTCTCATTTCAATGCACTACACATAAATAGAGTGCTAAAGCTTGCTTAATCCATTAATGTCCACTGTCCCATTTTTGGGACAATAGACATTAATGATTTATAGATAGAAACCTATAATTAATTCCAGATTTTTTTAAGAAACCTATAACTGGTACTGGATTTTTATTCTTATAAAACAATTTTACAGTGGACATTAATGGGTTAAAAGCATTTAGTTAAATATATGGAGTTTAATAGGAAGTTTTTTTTTTTATCCTTATCAGATAGCTTTATTTTGTTTCTGTAAAAAAATATTAAAGCAGAGTGTAGGAATTGTAACTATTTACATTGTTCAGACTGTTGTCATCATCTTTCTTGCCATATTCATGTTTCAGCCATTGTACACTCTGGCTTTCTTCAGGTGACTGGAATTTTGAGCTTCGTTTCATCTACTAGGGTACATTATTCTAGTTACATGTGCCATGCCTCTTCTGTATATCTCAGTTTCAGTTATTCATTTTTAGTATCTCAACTCTCCAAGTCACTGGATTACTTCAATCAACATGGCCCAGTCGATAAAAGCATTAGTTGAAATAATTCAGTGACTTGACCCAAAGAGTTGTGAGTTCAATACCTGGCCACAGCAGTGGTGAACAAAAACTTGGAGAATTGAATTACTAACTGAAAACTGGGATATCTGTAAGAAGCATGGCATATGGAACTAGAACAATCTACCCCAGTGGATGAAATAAAGGGTTTGGTTCAAAATTCCAATCACCTGAAGAAGGTTGGAGCATACAATGACCAAAACATTGTGACGAGGACAACAGTCCAAACAATGTAAATAATATAAACAGATTGTAGGGGTAATGATAAAAACAGTGGGCAGCAATAAGGAAAGATAAACCCTTCCATGCATGTTCCAATTTCAAATGTAGTTAACATAAATGTGCAACAGAGATTGTGGTTTTATTTTTATCTCTTACTGCAAAAATTTAGATTAATTGGCTATAGTTAAGTGTAACAACCAAGATGAAGACATTAATTTGAATATAGTTATGACAATTATTAATCTTAGAAATTCAAGCAGAAAAATTTTGTTATCAATGTTTTGAACTATAAACTTATAAGTGATAGGACTTTAAAATAATGTCAAAAAATAAATTAATATCAATTTGTCATATTAAGCAGCATTTTGTTCTTTAATTTTTCTGTTTTTAGAAATGTTTTTTTGCATAGCGTTCTTTACTTAAGTTAGTTAATGTCATGGTTTTTTAGTACACCACTATTTGTATGGATGACAGATTCAAAGCATTTTAATAGGTTGATAGGAAGGACAAAACTGTCCCAGAAGTATAAACATAAGATCATGGCACAGATGTTTTTTTTTTTTTCAGAATGAGTTTTAAAAAGAACAAAAGGTGGGTTTCATTGCGTCAACACAAAAACAATGATATATCAATTAAATGTCCTTAAAAATTGAATTTGGGTATAACCTTTACAAAAACTGTTATTTAATAAATCAAGTTCAGGTTATTTATTGGGTTAACTATAGTGTTTTGCTCTAATAGTATAAGGTTTACATAGAAAATATGTGGCAGGGGAGGGGAAGAATTACTGGAATGTCATCACTCTCTGAATGTCAAGTTGTGATTGGTCAATGTTTATGATCTTGTTACTTAAGTCAGCCACTCCAAAGACATACCAAAGATGGCTGATGTTATCATAAATTATTCACAAGTCACAGTTTTATTTTTCTGTTCAAGGATACAAATCAAAGGAATTTTCATTAAGTGAATTAAATAAAAAGTAAATAGGTACTTCAATAATTACTTGACTTACCACTTATTGCAATCTGAGGGTCAGGTCAACATGAAATAAAACATTCATTATTCAAGTAAGATTACAAATAAAATATGACGATTATCATAAGTGTAGCTTAGATGTGGCAGTGGCACGAAGCTGAAAGTGTGGAACAGTCAGTGAGGATCAAACTCACTACTCAGTTGTAATTGATCTAACGAGACAAGCTTACTAATCAGTACACCATGTTGAAGTGCTCAATATTGCAAATAAAATAAATATTACCTGCAAGATTTGAATTAAATCATCAACATACATGATATCACTCTCTGTATTTTAAAATTTGCTATAATTATAGGGGAAGAGTACTCAATATGAGAGAGAGTGTTTATAGTTATAGAGAGTGTGAAGGTAGGAATCAATATTGTATGGTGACTGTCAGTTTCACGTTTCAAAATCTGACACTTATGATAAAATATAGTTTTAAGGTATGTTATATTTATGGGTTAAAGTGCTCAGCATTAGGATAGAGCATATATAAATATAAAAGTGGACATTGAAGTTAATACCCAGAGGCAACAGTATTTCATGCTAAATGCAATCGTCAGGCCTGACAATTGCATTTAGCATGAAACAAACTGTTGCCTCTTGGTGTTGACATATGATTAACATAAAAAAATTTGTCAGATGATTGAATGCTCTATCTCTGATATGGAGCATTTTATTGCAACGGCAAACAGTCTTTGCAATAAATATACTTTCTTTCAGACTTCCACTGACAGCATTTCTGGCTTTACAATATCTTTCTTATCGCTATATAAAACTGTTATGCTTGAAGAGAATTCAATAGAAAATTAAATTCAAATGTTAAAAAAAAAAAAAAAAGGAAAGAAAAAAGCAACTATTTATCCGACTTCACAGCTAGTTACATTGGGGAAAATAACCAGTAACAAGTTTTTTCCACCCCCACAATATACAAAAATATTTGCATGTCTGAATTTCACAATGCATGCAAGTAAATCAAGTCATTCAAAGTTTGCCTATCTATTTTTCTATGCCAATAAAGAAAAACTAGAGAAAAAAAAGATTAATACTAAAATTCAAATTTTCCTCTTGTCAAAATTTCACCAGTAAAATATATATCAAAATATATTCTGATGTGAAATAGCCAAGATGAATTTTTCAATATATAAATAATTTGTTTTAACTTTTAATAAATCCCTCATGGTGTTTTCATTTGAAATAGTAAAATGTTTAATTGCAAGTTATTTATGCTTTTCAAATTGTTGCTTATATTCAACAAAACCCAAGACAATAAAATTGTTCATAATTATATGACTATATAAATAAAACTTGTTAGACAATGTTTAAATAGCGAAACTATTGAGATTTAGCAATGTAGGTGGGGAGGACAGGGTCGGCGTATACTGGGGAGAGGACGGGGGTCGGCGTATAACGGGGAGAGGACGGGGGTCGGCGTATAACGGGGAGAGGACGGGGGTCGGCGTATTAGTCTCTAAGTTGCCTAAACTATTTTTTTTTTTAAGATTAAGCATTGTCATTAATATAAATTTTTGATTGATTTTCTTCCATCTTGTTATTGCTTTCTATCACAATATTGATGTCAATTAGTTTAAAATGATTAAAGATAATTAACTTTTGAGAAGATTTGAACTTGCATCCTCTATCACTTGGAACCTATCTGACATCAACAGTAATTACATATTGTGATGAAAGCTAAACAAAAAACACATCATTCAAATTTAATCAAGTAATTAAAATTCTCCATTCTATTTTTATAGCAAATTATGATTTCTATATGTGGTGGTGGAAGTAATAGTCTTGTTAATAATTTCTTAGATGAAGCATTGTTAATTTTTTTTACTAGATTTACTTTCCTTTTCTCAAAATGTTAACGTCATTTTTTATTAAACAGCTTGGATTGGAAATAAACAACCTTAAATTGTCTTATATGAAGTATTATCGTTGATTATTGAGGAGTTTTTCATTTTTATTGCAACTTTTCTGCATTCTCTGATTGTTAAATAAGCAACATAGATTGGAAAGAAACAAGTAAACATAATAGTCTTATGTTGTCTGAATTTCTTAGACATACTATTTCAGTAAATTCTCTTCATACTAATAAAAGTAAAGTCAAAAATGTTGCTTTGAAGCCTTGAAAATGAATGCATTTTTATTTCATAAATATCCTTGTATGTTTATTAATATCAGATATTATTGTATGTGACTGCAGTTGAGATCAGTGTCATTGTAACCTCCATGATCCTTTCATTGCTTTGCCAGGCCAGGAATATATATGGTCTTGAATTCAGAGTTTTCCTTCTAAACTGATGGGCAACCAAAGCTGAAATCTGCCTTCCTATTTAACCTATATGTTTATAATGACTAAATTATTTGCAAACTTTAATGAATTCCTTCAATGATTCCTATCCATCAAGTGCTTTATCATGATAGAAAGAACAAAAAAATGGACTACAATCAGTCTGAGACGAGGTATTATGTACATTATTTACAATATTCGGACTATTGTCCTCATCTTTGTCACCATATTTATTACGTTTCAGCCGTTGTATGCTCCAGCCTCCTTCAGTATTCCAATAGATAATCTGATGGAGATGTTGACTTTCTGTACACAAACAACACACTTCAGAATGGGATCACACACGTATATCAACAGGATGAGGACTTAGCAATGGGCTCAGCATTATCACCAGCAATGGTGAATATATACATGGAATACTTTGAGGAAATGGCATTAGAATCTATCTCTCTAAAGCCAACTATATGGTTAAGGTACGTAGAGGACACCTTCATACTCTGGCCACACCAGAAAGATGGACCATGTGAACTCAAAACCTTCGATATAGTTCACAATGGAGAAAGAGAGTAACAACACACTCCCATTCCTGGATGTTCTAATATCTTGAACAGGGCATGGGTTCAAGACATCTGTATACCGTAAACCAACATTCACCGGACAGTACCTCAATTTCAACTCCCACCATCCATACAGCGTAAAGAAAGGGATCGTCTACTGCTTACAACACCAAGCGAAAATCATAAGTGGCGACCCAGAGACATTAGATAAAGAATTGGTCAATATAAGTAGTACCCTACAATGTAACAACTACCCTGGGTACATGGCAGCAGCCTCAAAAAATTGGGATAGGCAGCTACAAGAGGAAGACAACAACATTCGGAAAACAGTCTGCTTGCCTTATGTGAAGGGGTTATCAGAGAAAATACAAAGGATCTGCAGTCCATATAATATCAGGACAACCTTCAAAATCTTGACGACACTTCACAGATATCTCTCCAGAGTAAGACCCCCCCATAGAGGAGAACATGACTAAAGACTGTGTGTATGCTATCCCATGCAGCTGCGGAAAGAAATATAAAGGGGAGACAGGCCGCCCTCTTAAGTTAAGGCTCCAAGAACACCAGAAAGCTGTAACATGAGGGGAAGTGGAAAAATCAGGTGTGGCTGACAGCATATGGAGAGAGAAGGGAGCTCACTGCCCTCTGCGGAATCAGGTTGAGATCATAGGCAAAGAACACCACTGAAAAATTTGTAAACTTATGGAATCAGCACATATGCTATGCCACAAAAATCTCCTGAGCCAACCAAACAGAAATGAATACAATATGGGAACCAGTAATAAGGAGTGCCAGAGAAAAGCAATAACAAAAATTGCAATAGGAGCTCTGGTAAAAATGGTTGAAGACATTAGGTTTATAATACCCAGAAATTCATACACAGATGTCCTCAAGGACATATGGCACAGTGAATAAAGGCGTTAGTTAGATCCCGTGACAGGACCCAAGGAGTGCGAGTTCAATACCCGGTTAAGGCAGTGGAAAACTTTCAGAGGGAAATTAACAGGAAATAACAGATAACTGACATCCATTAAACATGGAACTAGAACAATCTACCCCAGTGTGTGAAATGAAGGGTTCAGTACAACGGCTGAAACATTGTAATAAATATGTCGACAAAGATGAAGACAATAGTCAGAATATTGTAAATAATGTACAATCAGTCTATTTATTCAAAAGAACAATTCTTTCATATTTAACATCTTTTAATTGATTAATAACAAAGAAAGCATAACATTATCTAAGCAATTTTTTGTAAGCATGGACTTAAATGCCCACAATAAGATGGTTTGTCCCATGACAATTAAATTTTTAAACTACCTTCAATCTTCGGCAATGTTTATCATTTTAAAAAGCAATGATTAGAATTGAAATAAAACCTAAACCTGTTAAAGTGAATTTGTACACTTTTTTTGTTCTTAATAATTTACAATAAAAACAGTAAACACTATCAGATTGTTTATTTTCACTATTTATTATTTATTGGAATGGCTAGCAAAGAATGAGCTAATTGCCAATTGATTCAAATTTTATAAAATGGTAAAGAATAAGGATTTTCTTATATCTGGTTTACATATTTTAATAAATTAGTAAATGTTTATAAAATTATAAAAAAATAAATTGTTTTTGTATTGATTTCTTTATAAATTGGTAAATGATAAATATTGCATTAGTTTTATTAGTTTTTAGAAAGTTGTAAATATAAAATTATTCTAATAAATAAATAGTATTTAATATTTTTGTTGCAAATTCCCAAAAACTTCTTAAAACCATAAACAGTATCAAAAAGTGAAGGTAGTTAAAAAAAAGTTTTGTCATGGGAAAAAAAAACGTCCTTACATCTTATTGCAGGCACATTAGCCCATTTTTTTTTTCCTAAACCAGAAGAAAGAATTCTTTAAGGGTTTATGAATAACTTATGAACAAATATTAGAAATGAAGTCAAACAAAAGTTTCTTCAAATACTAAACAACAGTCTATTCTTTATTTTTCCTACTGTAGTAAAATGCATTTTTTAACAATGAGAGAACAGAAATTAAATTGAGATTATTTTAACTTTAATATATTTTTTGTGTGAATTTCTGGGATGAGGAGTTATTATTTACACTATTTATATCCCAAGTATTCTCCTCGTCTTTGTTGTTATCACAATGTTTCAGTTATTGTGTCCTTCAGCCTTCCTCAGGTGTATATTGATCTGGGTAACCTACAGGGAATTCTGAACTGAACCCGAGACATGTCCACATTCCACTGCACAATTCCAGGGATATAGTGTTGTTTTATTTTTATAGTATTGTTCAGTTATTGCTCACCTGTTTCCACAGAGTTCAAGTACAGTGCTCGAACCAGATCAATATACACTGGAAAAGACCAGAGAGTACAATGGTCGAAACGTTGTGATAAGATCAAAGATGAGTGTGAATATAAATAGTGTAAATATTGAATATACTTGTTTTTAACAGTTTCAAGTCTTTAAAATAAAAAAATGAATAATATCAGAAGAATATCTAATCAAATGAATACAGAAAAGCCTTAATAAAAATTGTTTCCGACACTAAACTGAAATGGCGATCTGCACAACATAAAGATCATGTTCTCATGACATGTTGCAGTATACTGATGATTATTAGGTGGTCCACAATTGCAGACCCAGAAGGAACATATCACTTAAATAATCGTAGGCATGCCATATCAAAAGAAAATGTTCTCTATATTGTGCAAGCCACAGTCCAATCCCAAATTAAAGTGTTGGAAACAATATGTCTAAGAAGCCTACCCTGTATTAAAAGAAGGAATGACTGCTTGGTCTTAATGTGATATGCATTTTAAACATTCTTGTTAATATATTACTAATGTTTGTATTTTGTATCCTTTTAAATCAGTACATATTTTTTTTATTTAATCCTCAATCTAATTTAACACAGTGTCGTTATCTAAACAAAGCCCGGTGTGTGCGTGTCGTTATCTAAACAAAGCCCGGTGTGTGCGTGTCGTTATCTAAACAAAGCCCGGTGTGTGCGTGTCGTTATCTAAACAAAGCCCGGTGTGTGCGTGTCGTTATCTAAACAAAGCCCGGTGTGTGCGTGTCGTTATCTAAACAAAGCCCGGTAAATGTCGTTATCTAAACAAAGCCCGGTGTGTGCGTGTCGTTATCTAAACAAAGCCCGGTGTGTGCGTGTCGTTATCTAAACAAAGCCCGGTGTGTGCGTGTCGTTATCTAAACAAAGCCCGGTGTGTGCGTGTCGTTATCTAAACAAAGCCCGGTGTGTGCGTGTCGTTATCTAAACAAAGCCCGGTGTGTGCGTGTCGTTATCTAAACAAAGCCCGGTGTGTGCGTGTCGTTATCTAAACAAAGCCCGGTTAATGCGTGTCGTTATCTAAACAAAGCCCGGTGTGTGCGTTATGTTTATCTAAACAAAGCCCGGTGTGTGCGTGTCGTTATCTAAACAAAGCCCGGTGTGTGCGTGTCGTTATCTAAACAAAGCCCGGTGTGTGCGTGTCGTTATCTAAACAAAGCCCGGTGTATGCGTGTTGATTTGTTTTTCAATCTTAGCAAATCATAAACAAGCTGAAGTAACAGGTAGTAACTATTGTAGTTACATGCGATTAAAAATTAAATAGTTCATTTAAAGTTAAATTTAAATATCAAACAAATTAA